CCAGCCAAACCTGTCTTAGCTACTCATTCCACCTCCTATAGATCATAGATCTATATAAACACATCTATGTTGGTATCCACCCCACTCATCTCAAGGGAACTCCTTCATTAAAAAATACACATTTTCTGCATCCAGAGTTTTTTTTCTCTAGCTTAACTTCGTCAAGTAACACTTCCAGTAACATTTGAACATGGCAATCAGTATTGGGCACATCCTCCGTCCTAAGCAAGTACTCAGAAGGTCTTCTTCAAGAACAAACAGAGAAAGTGAGATACCTAAGGGTCACTTTGCTGTTTATGTTGGGGAGAGCGAGAAGAAGCGCTATGTCATTCCAATTTCATACCTGAAAGACCATTCCTTCCAAGATCTTTTAAGTCAAGCTGAAGAAGAATTTGGATTCGATCATCCTATGGGTGGACTCACAATACCTTGTCCTGAGGACACCTTCCTTGACATGATCTCTAGTATGAGTAGATTTTGATAAACTTACAGTACACATAGCTTAGATTATAGTCAGAAGAACATTTTTTGTAGAGGACTAAAAAGGAGTATTCTTGTACTTATAGTCAGTATAAGAGGAGTATTCTTGTACTGGTGTACAGTGCCTATTGTTATTCTATCCGACTGGGAAATACAAATGTTATTACACTCTCTTATACGGAGTATCTATATATTATTACTTGTCTTGAAACAGTTCAAGTCGTAGGAAAGGAATTCTAAATGTTTCAGTTAATTTGAGATAAAAAAAAATCTTTTTAACCCTTTATTGTTTTAAGATAATAAAACCTTAGAAAATTCTCCGAGATCTGTTTGATTCTTGATGTGATTAGAGAGCAAAGGAAATGTATTTAAGGTTAAGAGTTTGTCTGAAATGCCAAGGTGACTGAACCATAATATAGTATGTTCTTGCAGTTAAAGTTGACTCAAGGTTTCTTAGTGAACTTCAAGGTTAATGGATTATAAATTTAGAATATGCAAGCAGTAGGCCACTGGTTCAGCTAACTTTAAATTTAGACATCAAATGCTTTTTGCTCATATTGATTTTTGAACATCATTTGTTTTGTTTCTAAATGAGCATGAACTGGTAAGAGCAAAAATGATTACGATTTATAATGTTAGTGATGGAGTATATGGCCCAGGAACCCCCGGTCCATAGACTCCTACTTCTCCTACACAAGTCCATTGAGCCCAGGGAACATCTCAGGCCCAAATGCAACGGCCCAAGCCTCAAATAAGCCCGGAATATACATTGGGGTGCCTTCGGCCTCCTTGGCCGAAGGCTCCAAAACTCACAGGATAGCTTTTTTGGGCATACGAAGCTACCGGGAGAAAACGGCGAAAAACAGGATCCTTCGGCATCATCAAAGCCCTCGGCATCAGAAAAGCCTTCGGCTGAACCAGGCCTCCGGTCGCACAGAGCCTTCGGCCACGCACTGGTCCTCTGTTACATGGAGCCCTCGACTACACACGGAGCCCTCGGCTACACAAGGAGCCTTCGGCCAAACATGCTCAATCATCGAAGATTCCTTTTGGAGACAGCCAACCACCGCATTTAATGCAACGTCACATCCGCCAACCGCATTCAATGCGGTGAACGTACCACTGCCGGTGCCACCCGATTGATGTGACCCCTCGGCCGTTGGATTACTGACACGTGTACTCTCATCGCATTTATTGCTGCTATAAATAGCAGCCCATTTCTCCTTGTAAAGGATCCCAACTCTCATACGTTGAGTTCTTTTAATAAATCGACTCTCTCTCCTCCTATTTGCTCTGACTTATCTCTAGTTATTCCCGCAATAACCCCTCGGATAAGACACCCCCCGGGTAGACTATCCATCAGTTAGAAAAGATTGCTGAAATACTGGATATGAAGTCTTTGCTATCTGTCTGTAGTCTGTACATTTCACAAGATGTATATACTGCTGCTACGCACAGAGTTTTTCGTTTTCTTTTTTATATTGGCACTATGAAAATGTCAAAGAGCTTATGAAGAAACTCAAATTAGTAAGACATTCTGAAGACTGAAACCTGGCTCAGATGTTAAATGATGTAGTCCATGAAGACTGAATCACATGCTAGCTACTAGCTGATAGGTCCATCTCTTGATAATGAAGAAATATGGCAATATGGCCCTTTTTCTAACTTCCATGAAGACTGAATCACATACTGAATCTTATACTACGTAGGTGATAGGTCCATCTCTTGAAACTCCAAATTCTTCTCCAGGAGCCTTTGCAGCACTGGGGTAATGATAATGAATGCCCTTTTTCTAACTGTAGAAGAAGTGCTGCAAGTCTGCAACTACCTGTCACATAACTTAGTCTTCAAAATGAAACCCACCTTCTCCGGGTACCACCAAACCTCTGCCATTTTTTGGCAAGCTTGGTGAGCTTCTTGTAACTCCTAATGATAATATTATTCCTTCAGCAAATAGAGCCAGGCTGAATGGAGCAGAACAATTATATGTCCAAAATCTGTTAAAAGAAATTGTTGTTTTGTTTTGATGATGAACATGGATATGAAAGTGATATGTATAAAGTTTTGACGCTAAGGCAATCTTTAAACCATGTGTCTCCTAGCTGCGGAGGCTCTTTTAGCTTCTACTTTGAAGTTTCTAAGATACTATGACCGCTTGATGTTCTTGGCAAAATCTTGTTCCACATAAACGATAACTCATATGTTATTCTTATTTGGTAAGGCTATGTTTAGTAGCTGAGCTATCCCATTTTGGTATCATATATCGAAACTTCTCTTAACCACTCGTTCCACCTCCTAAAGGCTCATATACCTATATAAACACGTCTCAGTTAGTTCTCACCCCACTGAAGTCCAACTCAAGGGCTTCTTACATTAAAAAAAACAGTGCTTCTGCATTCACTAGTTGTTTCTCTAGCTTATTAGTATCTTTAAGTAGCACTCTAGAAACACTTGAACATGGCAATCAGTATGGGGGACTTTGTCCGTCCTAAGCAAGGACTCAAAAGATCTTCTTCAAGAACAAACAAGAAATTCTTGGGTTGTCCACCCTTGATGGTGCAGTGAAGGTGATCAAACCTGATATGCATTAACTGAAATGATGTATTCCTTGAAAACTGCATCACATGGGAGTGTAATAATCACATCACTTGGAAGTCCAAATTCTTCATCATAGATGTTTAGGAGTTCCCTAGAAATCTCAGTATTGAGATTTGAGATACAATAGAGGCACAATAAAGCGTTTCTGACCAGCCATGTAGAGGGCAAAGTGACCCTTCTCCACTGCAGCTATCTGCATCGATATTTAGTCTTGGAAATGGAATCCTTTTTCTTTCACACCACTGAATCTCTACCATCTCTTTTCCAGCTGATGAGATTCTTGGAACTGGTCATGCAATAATAGATAGAGGTTCAATGGAGAAGATTGAAGATTCTAGTAGCAGCCTTAGCTTTGCATCAATATATCATTTATGGTTTTGATCATTATAAATTCACACTTGAAGGACCCTCCATTCCAAAACTCCATGAAAACTGCATCACATCCGGTCATCATATGGGATCATCCAATAAATAATGGAGTTTTGATAATTCCAAAACTTAAAGATGTGCTCCTTCGGTCCTTCCTATTGTTCTTTAGTTCCACCACATTCTAGCTAGAAGTGGAAGTATGAAACCGTCAGCAATGTCTTGAAGGGTTGTAAAAAGACAACCTCGCCTTCTCTTTTTGGGATACCATAAGTTTTTTCACAAACTCCTTGTGTTCTAAGAAAGAAAAAGATACCCCCCTCCAAATGCAAATTCGTGTTTCTCTATGTTTGCCCCAGCCTATGTATACGCTGTACAATCCCTTACAGTGATGTTTAAGACCCAATGAATCACCAAGGTACCTCCAGTCCTTTGAGCAGAAAGATACTGATACTATCATCTATTGAGAGCTTATTTCTCAAACCTTGTAATGTTTCTCTCATAGGTTCTAGAGTGCTGAAGAGAAACTTCCTTTATAAAAAGAAAACTGCCTTGAACCTCGGGATATTGCTTCTGACCATGTTTTTAGCAAATTTGGCTCTGCTGTGGCGGGCCAATTGGTTGGTTTAATCACATATGCTATCAGCTATGCTTCCCAGAATGAGGTTCCCTTCTTGATTCCCATCCTTTTCTAAGTATGATTAGCAGGTGACTTTCATGCTTCAATAGACTCTTCCAAATGGAAAGAAGTATTTTCTCTCTTAAATGGCTCAGGCACCCGCATCCCCATCACTATTCAAATGCTAATAAAAAAACACCAGAGTGACTGTATGAGTAACTGAGAGTAGCAATGCATTTGTCTTACAGATTCAGTGTTTTAGAATTGCCGGACTGCAGGAAAAGGTGATCTATTTAAAGTTTTAGGATGATAGGTCGAGGTTTAAGTTCTTTTGGAAATAAGGAAGGCAAAACCATGTGCCAACTAGACATGTGGGGCCACTAAGCCTCAATCAGAAAAACATATGATCTCTGAAGTGTCGCCTGATACATAGGCAAACGATTAGGAATCACAAGGTATGTTTCCTAATCAATTGATCTATTTTTCTTGGAAAATACCATTCATTGAGCTTTCACCGTTTATTATCCAATTTCACTAAATCTTGTGATGAATGATGTTCAAAGACAACACCATGTGGTAAAGTGTCAGTTATACCAACCTCATAGCTGGCTGGATGGTGGGTCCTTTCACCTTCAATCAGAAACTATGAAATCTGGAGTTTTTCCTCACACTACAACCATACAATTTGAAATCACATGGATTGTTTCATACTCCCTAATAAATAATCCAGGGATATAAATTGATTGGTAGGCTTTCTTGTAAAGAAAGAAGTGGTTAGGATATCCCTATCTGTTCAACATTCATTGAAGAATGTGGGGATTGATGTTTCTTATCTTTGCAAGTTGGCAAGCATTCCACGTAGGTGTCTCTACGCCACTCACCCAATCCACCTCCCAGTGGATCTATCTATATAACAACCACTGAGTTGGGTATTCTCCATCATTCAAAACACTTTCTCCAGACAACTCCGAAAAGAATCTGCTTCCACAAATAGGTTTTTATTACCAAGTGAGGAAACATTCAACCATGGCAGTTATGGCGAAAATTCTGCGTGCTACTAAGCCAAGCCTGAGGAGGTCTTCTTCCAGAACAAACCGAGAAAGTGAGGTTCCTAAGGGTCACTTTGCAGTTTATGTTGGTGAGGGTGAAAAGAAGCGATTTGTTCTTCCAATATCATACTTGAAGGACTCTTCATTCCAAGACTTACTTAGTCAAGCTGAGGAAGAATTTGGATTTGATCATGCAATGGGAGGATTAACAATACCCTGTGCGGAGGCTACTTTGCTTGACATCATTTGTAGCTCAAGTTGATCATTATAAAAACACATAGAGATGGCTAGTTTAGTTTAGTGAACAATTCTTTTTGGGTAGAAGAGTTTCTTGTAAAGTTGATACTGAAAATATACTATTAACTTCATACTACAACTACCATTTTGCTTGGAAACTTTTTCGTATTTGTCTTATTATTCACAACACAGTAACTAAATCTAATACATACAATACACAGGAAACTCTCTTGTGACCTAACACTTTAACCCCATTTCATTGACACAAAAACTTTGGGTGTTAGAAAGCAATAAATATGAGCTTTGGAGCTTACTTGAAATCATACATATGGGATGGAGTTTCAAGTCATGATTGGCCATCCAAACTTAACTGATTATCTAATAATGGAATGTAATTAAAGATTACATTAGTTAGCTATTGAACATTAAAAATACAGTCTCAGTACCAACCTCATATCTGTATAAAGTATATACACATTTCAGATAATAAGTATTCAATATAATCGTTTCTACAGTTTTTTAGTTTAGCACTGCCACTACTTCAAATGTAATCATTTGACGTGGAAATTGGTGTGGATCACATTTCTTCAATAACTTGTAGAAAGGCAAGGTTCCTTGACACCGTCTCCAGCTAGAGAGAATTTACCAGAAGCTCATTTTTGTGGCAAAAACTTGTAAAAAAGAAGTGTTTCTTGTACAAATCTGTGGTTAATTTGTTCTTTGGAGAAATAACTCACATATTAATTTTAGTGGGGTTAAAGATTTGAAACATTAAATTTCTTGTGATTTAGGCTTTTAAAATATTCACCTATTAATATAGAGATTTAGTTGAGCACCGTCAATGAAATTAATTAAAAATTAAGTACTACTTTATCCTGAAACTTCTTCATGATCATATATGCCTTCAAGTCTTCAACTCCACATTTAGGTGTTCATGGTAAAGGTTTGATAAGTTGTATGTTTTGTGATTATTGTGCTTTGTGATAATAAGTGAATATTAACGATTTTCAAATATATGTGTTAATGTCTCGTGAATATGAGCATACTCCAGTTTCTCATAAATTACTGTGGTATATTGAAAATATCAAGTCATTGGCTACAAAATGTGTTGAGGAAAATAGGAAATGCATATGAAAGTTATATATTCAATCTGTTCAGGAAATAGGCAAAACCATGTGTCACCTTCCGGTTGGTGGTCTCTTTCAGTTTCCAAGTGATGGGAATCTGGAGTTTTTTCACTTACTAAAACATACAATGTGAAATCACATGGTTTGTTTCCCAATTATCCATTAATTCAAAGTAATTAGTAGGCTTTTTTGTAAAGACAGAAGTGGTTAAGATATCTCCTACTGTTCAAGATTCAATGAATCATGTGGCCAATGATGTTTGAAGAACTAATTTGTTATACATCTTTTGGAAGACAAAACCAGTTGTTGATGCCTCAATCTTGCAAGCTGGCAGCCTTTCCATGTGGAACTCTCTAACCCGCTCAATCCTTCACTCAGTGGATCTATATAAGCACAACGTAGTTTGGTATATTTCCCAACTCAAAAACCTACCTTCACACAACTCCTAAAAGAATTTGCATCTGCAAATAATTTTTTGAGGACTAAAACAAACTTCCCACCATGGCAGTAAGTATGGCAAAGATTCTGCGTGGCACTAAGCCAAGCCTGAGGAGGTCTTCTTCAAGAACAAACAAAGAAAGTGAGGTTCCTAAGGGCCACTTTGCAGTTTATGTCGGTGATGGTGAAAAGAAGCGCTTTGTCCTTCCAATATCTTACTTGAAGGACTCTTCATTCCAAGACTTGCTTAGTCAAGCTGAGGAAGAATTTGGATTTGATCATCCCATGGGAGGACTCACCATACCTTGTCCGGAGGGTACCTTCCTAGAGATCATCTCGAGCTCGAGATGATCATCATTACAGAAAACAGATAGAGGTGTTCTAGTATAGTTTAGCCAACAATTTTGTTTGGGTAGACGTGTTTTCTTGTACAGTTTATTCAGAGAATATACTATAACTTCATAGTATGACTACCATTTCCCTTTGGAACTTTTTCTGTTTTATCCTGCTACACACTATAATGTTTCGTCAGAAGTGATTTTGAAATAGTTACTTGAGCTTGGATGCAACAAAGAACTAGCTTTTACAAGATAAGCAAACAGAAAAATGAAATAACCTGTTAAAAAAACAATCATAAGCAACAAATTTCCAGAACAGTATTTGTTTCAAAAAAACAAGCTGACAGCTGACTATAGGTTTCAGTCGATGCTCCTCTCACACAACTTCTTTCCCCGAAAGTAGTCTATATTTTAAAATACATCTCATATAGTGATATAATCTGGGTTTGAAGCTGTCCATATCATGCTATAAATATCACATTTGATATTTGTTGAACATTGAAACTATACACAGAGGAAATTTTACATTTTTATCATATATTCATATCAAGCCAAATTTATATGCATGAAATATCGATATACATTCCAAGCTGCGGTTTAATGAAAAAACACTTATGCTTGGCTATCTCATGATCAGTTTCAAAACAGAGAAGTTCACTTCTTATATTGTGGCCTAATAGCAGGAATGTATCATTCTTTTTTGAATAACTATGGCCCTTCGAAGTGGATGGAGAAATCCGTTTAAAAAAATAACCAAAACCATGTGCTACATAACTAGTTTAAGTGTGGCATTTCACTTCAACTAGCAATAAGTGGACTCTGTAGCTTTTTCCATATACTGAGACATACAATTGTGAAATGTGTTGGAGTTAAGCTATATCCATCTATTCAATTGCATAGAAGAAATGTGGGGAATGGTTTTCATACAAGGCTTTATCCTTTAACTTGTGAGGAGAAATTCTTTATACATCGAAGATGGAACCATGTGATATTGTCTCTTTGTGTTAAAAACAAAAACAAAACAATATTACCTCTTATCTTGTTTGCTAGCTTCTCTCTAATTCAAGTGTCAATTAACTGCGCAATCCACTTTCAGAAAGATCTTTATGAATATAGATTTGAGGTTTGTATACACCCCAGTCAATCTAATCATGCATAGTACACTTAGTTTCTGCACCTACCTATTACATAGTCCGTATATTATTCCAACATCATAAGGACCCTTGATTCCAAGATTTGTTGAGACATAAATAAAATGGACCCTAGAAATAATATATATAGCCTTCATCTAGTATGTAGATATGTTCCTTCATATTGTTCTTTAATTCCACTACTATCTTTCTAGCAATAGAAGCATCAACAAAGTCTTGAAGGGATGTAAATGATTTTTTTCACCTTCCCTTCTTTTGGCATAACATAAACTTTTTCAAAAACACCTTGTGTCCCATAGTCAGTTAACAGTGTTTCTCCCTATTGTTCTCATATTTTTATTTATTTATTGAGGCTAACTTTCTGCTCCATCTTCATCTCTCACTTTGTAGGCTATCTAGAGTAGTTGAGCTATCCCAATTACATTAAAGCAAGTGGGGATGATGTTCTTTACCTGCAAAGCTGGTAGTAGACATTATTAATCCTTTTTGGAAGACCAAAGCATGTGGCAGTGATATATGTGGTTGAACTATCCCATCATATATGCAAGCTGGATGCCCTCCCACCCAAACCTGTCTTAGCTACTCATTCCACCTCCTAAAGATCATAAATCTATATAAACACATCTCATTTGGCATTCACCCCACAAAACTCAAGGGATTCCTTCATTTAAAATCACACATTCTCTGCATTTAGAGGTGTTTTTCTAGCTTAACGTTGTCAATTAACACTTCCAGAAACATTTGAAAATGGCAATCAGTATGGGGCACATCCTCCGTCCTAAGCAAGGACTCAGAAGGTCTTCTTCAAGATCAAACAGAGAAAGTGAGATTCCTAAGGGTCACTTTGCTGTGTATGTTGGGGAGAGCGAAAAGAAGCGTTTTGTCATTCCAATTTCATACCTGAAAGACCATTCCTTCCAAGAGTTGTTAAGTCAAGCTGAAGAAGAATTTGGATTCAATCATCCTATGGGTGGACTCACTCTACCTTTTCCTGAGGACACCTTCCTTGACATAATCTCTAGTATGAGACTATGAGTAGTTCTTGATAGGCTTCAGTACATAGAGTTCTTTTATACAGTACACAGCTTAGAATATAGTCAGAACATTTTTTTGCAGAGGAAATTACTGTTGTACTGGTGTAAAATGTCCTTTGTTATCCTATCAGATTGGGAAATATCAATACATACTCTTATATCCATTTATTACTTGTCTTGAAACATTTATGAGTGATAGGAAAGGAAGTCTAAACGTTCCAGTTAATTTGAGATAAAAAAAATCCTTATTATTTTTTAATAATGTTTTAAGACAACAAAAATGGCTGAAAATTTTCCTAGCTATCTTCAAGTGAGTGAAACATACGATACTATGTTCCTGCAATTAACGCTCACTAAGGGTTTGTTAGTGCACCTCGACGATAATGAATTACAAATTAAAAATATGTGAGCAGTCGAATATCTCATTAGATAGAGGCACTAAGATGTCCTCCAAATTGGTGTACTTTTCAGATGTTTCAATTCTTCACCTTTCACAAGAGTCAACTGGCTACAAAACATGTTGAGGAAATGCATATGGAAGTGATTAAAATTCCATCACATGGTTTGTTTCCCAATTATCCATTAATTCAAAGTAATTGGTAGGCTTTCTTGTAAAGACACAACTGATTAGGATATCTCCTTGTGTAATTGTGTTCAAGATTCGATGAATCATGTGGTTAATGATGTTTGAAGAACTAATTTGTTATACATCTTTTGGAAGACAAAACCAGTTGTTGATGCCTCAATTTTTCAAGCTGGCAGCCTTTCCATGTGGAACTCTCTAATCCCCTCAATCCTTCTCCCAGTGGATCTATATAAGCACAACGTAGTTTGGTATTTTCCCAACTCAAGAACCTACCTTCACACAACTCCTAAGAGAATCTGCATCTGCAAATAGTTTTCTGAGGACTAAAAAAAACTTCCCACTATGGCAGTAAGTATGGCAAAGATTCTGCGTGGCACTAAGCCGAGCCTGAGGAGGTCTTCTTCAAGAACAAACAAAGAAAGTGAGGTTCCTAAGGGCCACTTTGCAGTTTATGTTGGTGAGGGTGAAAAGAAGCGATTTGTTCTTCCAATATCATACTTGAAGGACTCTTCATTCCAAGATTTGCTTAGTC